CCGCCGCCTCCCGGGTTCACACCATTGTCCTGCCTCAGTCTCCTGAGTAGCTGGGACCACAGGCGCCCACCAGCCTGCCCTGCTAATTTTTTGTATTTTTAATAGAGACAGGATTTCACTGTATTAGGCAGGATGATCTCCATCTCCATCTCCTGACCTTGTGATCCGCCCACCTTGGCCTCCCAAAGTGCTGGGATTACAGGCGTGAGCCACCACGCCCGGCCATTTTTTTAATTCCAAAAGTAAAAGTTTAGCCTTTACGTTTCGACTGAGTGATTATTCTGTGCTGATTTATAAGAAGACATTTGCCAACAAGACCTTGGTTTTGACTTCTTGTGTTTTTGTAGTGGGATGATGGGCTTCTGGTAATGTTGCAGCATACTGAATGTGCCCATTATTTGTAGAGAACAGAGGTAGTTTTCTTGGAAATAAAGATGGTTTGTACTGACCATCTGCTTTTTTCAAGTCTTCTTTGAAATATGTTACATATGTTGGGAAGGAGGATGGTAGATGGAGGCTTCATCTATAGACTTGAAACAGAGCTGAGCTATTTGTTCAGCCAAAGAGTGGGACCTGTGACTGTCGCCTTATTTGCATAGCATTCTTACTATGTGCTCTTGGTCTAAAATCTGGAATGAGAAACTCACGGAGATCTGTTAAAACTGTGTACTTTTACATTTACTTGTAGCTATATGATGTCCAATGGCTATAAGCCAGCCCCTTTGGATTTGTCTGATGTGAAGCTGTTACCTCCTCAAGAAATTTTAGTGGATAAACTTGCAGAAAATGCACACAATGTTTGGGCAAAAGACAGAATAAAACAAGGATGGACCTATGGCATCCAACAGGTAAGAATTGCTGGGTCAGGCATGCTGGCAAAGTTAGAAGATAGGACCATCCATCCACATGCCATTTTGCTTTGGTGTGTGTTAGATCAGAAGGAAGAGGTTGCCTTTGCACTCTGTCCCTCACACCTCAGTGTGTTCATTATTTATGGAATCATGGGGCTGGACAGAATTTGTAATGGTCACATCATAGCTCAGCAGTATTTCTGGGATGGTCCCACGTGTCTGCTGGTGAGGATGAAATGGAGGGAAAGCTAGCCCAGCAGAGCAGCAAACCAGCTGCCCAAAAGCTTTTACCTCCTTACTTCAGTCCACTGGGCCAACGATTTCTGGACAAAAGTCTTGGCCTGAGCAGGAGGCAGCTTGAAAGCCAGAGCACAGCAAGAAATTAGATAGAGTTCAGTCCCAAACCACCTGGCACACCTCTTTCCTTGAGATGGTTTCTCTCATCTTAGTAATCACCAGTGGTAGGGTTAGTATCAGGGAAGTTCAGGAGCGGCTATGTGCACATTGGTGAATTCATACTGGAGCCTCCAAACCTGCACACATCTGGAAGCCAGGAAGAATACAGCTGTGGAAACTATGGGGGGAGGAGGAGCAGCAGAGTGAAGAGGTTCAAAACAGCATGTTATACTTATGAGTTTGGGTGACTTATCTCTACAATTGTCCCTATTGTCTTCTTAGTCCCTCCTAAGGAACTGAGAGGGACATTACTACAAATGTGTGTCCTCTGCCATGAAATGAACACACTGTGGCTCTGCCACCTTTTCCGATGTTTCTCCATGAAGGCTTATTAAGCTGTCATGATGAGGCTATAGCAACCTAAATCATGACATGATCTTTCATAGGGAAATCATTATACAAATCTCCATCTGCTTTGCCTTGGGAATGGAGGTTTCTAACCAATTCTGTGTCGCTTCATTTTACTCACAGGCTGGTATTATTAAAAGTGTTTTTGTTTTGTTTTGTTTTGTTTTGTTTAATGAGACTCTCACTCTGTCACCCAGGCTGGAGTGCATGACCTCAACTCACTGCAACCTTCATCTCCTGGGTTCGAGTGATTCTCCTGCCTCAGCCTCCCGGGTAGCTGGGATTACAGGCAGTCACCATCACACCCAGATAATTTTTGTATTGTTCGTAGAGATGGGGTTTTACCGTGTTGGCCAGACTGGTCTCGAACTCCTGACCTCAAGTGATCTGCCCACCTCGGCCTTTCAAAGTGCTGGGATTACAGGCATGAGTCACCACGCCCGGCCAAAAGTGTTTTTTACTGCTAGCTTTGAGCATTAGTAAAATGTTTCCATTTATAGTCATTTAATCTGGAGAAGAAGTGGCAAGTATGTACATTGGTAAATGTGAAGGCACTGAGGGAAGCGCTCATAGACCTAGAGCTGCCAGAAAGCCAGGACTGTTGCTGGGAATATGTGAACAGGGCGAGCTGTGGTGAAGGTGAAATGTTTTCTTGGCTCCTTTTTTCTCTGGCTTCACATAGGATTTGAAGAACAAAAGAAATCCCCGTCTGGTGCCATATGCATTACTGGACGAGCGTACCAAGAAGTCAAACAGGGACAGCCTGCGGGAAGCTGTGCGCACTTTTGTTGGTTACGGATATAACATTGAGCCATCAGACCAAGAACTAGGTAATGAGTTGAGAGTGTTTATTCTGGCCCCAGTTTACTAAACAGGTCCTCCTCTTGGGGTGTCCTAACTTCAAATAGGTCTAACTTGTACTATTGGAAATAGTCTTGGGGCTGAAGAGCACTAGACTAAATGGTGTGATTTTTTTATTATTATTATTTGGGAGACCATGTTTGATGTAAATCATCATCCCATTGACAGATTTTCTGTGATGAGCACTTCTGTGACTTATTCCTACAAGGAATAGGTGATCTTCCAGGGTAGCTGAGCTTTTCAGAATACCTGATGAAAACCAAGTCACTGATTTTTGCTCTTATTTTCCAAATGTGTGAATATCAGCTTACTTTTAGATCAGGTAATCATATCTCCAAATTAAAAGCTTGTTCAGATTAAAATCTGAACAACAGCTTAAAATTGATGAGCATGTTATCGTCATCCCGCGCCCCAGGAGGTATCGTAGGCCACATGGGCAGAATTGTAAATCATTAAGGGGATGGTTTTGAAGTCCAATCTGGGTTTATACCTTTGCTCCTCTGTTCATTGGCTCTGTGACACTGAATAAATTATTTTACCTCTTTGACCCTGAGTTTCTTCATCAGTAAAATGAAGAGAATATTAGCTACCTCATAGGTTTATTGTGAGGGAAACCTGAGAAATGGTCTCTAAAAGACCTACTGTGAAGCAATCCCTCAGTCAATGGTAGCTCGTATGGTGATGATAATGATGGTCTATTATGAACAATGCCATACTGGACATACTGGATAGTAGTCGACCTATAGTCAGTCTCAGATGTTCTCATCAAATTCTTTTGAGTAATGCTACTGAATTATTAAAGGCCTATGTTTTCTCTTTCCCTTCCACACCCTCTGTTCGCCTTCCTTCTCACAATAGCTGACTCGGCTGTGGAGAAAGTCAGCATAGACAAGATCCGATTTTTCCGGGTAGAGCGATCTTATGCAGTGAGATCTGGAAAGTGGTATTTTGAGTTTGAGGTGGTGACTGGAGGAGACATGCGAGTTGGCTGGGCCAGGCCAGGCTGTCGGCCTGATGTGGAACTGGGGGCCGATGACCAAGCCTTTGTGTTTGAAGGCAGCAGGGTGAGTCCATATATCTAGCAAACACACGTCCTCAGACCAAGTTTTCCTTCTCCAAACATTTTTCTGGAAGCTCAAATTACTGGATCTCTTGACTTCAAAGTGAGTGGCCACCACCACTGGCTAATGTAAACGTAGAATGAGCATCGCCTGGTGACTCTTTCTTTGCTCTTCACTCTGTTGATGGGGAGCACTGTACCCCAAATCCTTTCTACAATCACCTTCATATCTGGTTTTGCACCCAAGCCCATTGACTCCACTCTGGAGGTGACACAGAGATCACTAGGCAGCCAGTATGTCAGGAAATCTTACCAGTTTTCCCTAGAGAGAATCCTGATTATTGCCATGGCTGTGACTAGAACCAGAGACTTGGGCTACCTTGTGTGTCTTGGTTTCATTTATAACATAGACCACTCCTCCTTGTTGGTTATCCTTGAGTGCCCCCTGGAAGTCATGTACCACTACTAGTTAGGAGATAATGCAGATACGGTCATTTATCCAGCTGCAGGGGCCTCTAGAAACTCCATTTCTCTAAGCCCTAGAGTCTTGTTTTCTAGGGCCAGCGTTGGCATCAAGGAAGTGGGTATTTTGGGCGTACGTGGCAGCCAGGAGATGTGGTCGGATGTATGATTAACCTGGATGATGCTTCAATGATCTTCACGCTGAATGGGGAGCTGCTGATCACCAACAAAGGCTCTGAACTTGCCTTCGCTGACTACGAGATTGAGAATGGTAAATCTAACACCCTCTGCCAACCCCAGCTCCATGAGGCTGGAGAAAAATACAGGGAGAGCTGAGCGAACTCCTCTACTTCCTTATTTGGCCTACACTATCCTTTGCACATTTGAAAATCCTAATGGTGAAGACGATCCCTTAGACTAGCAATTTCAAAGAATTAGGGGAGATAATAGTGATAGTTGGTGTGTGCAGCATACATACAAATTCCGAACTCTCAGATGCGTTAACCAGGAAGCTAATTCCTTGCCCTGTGTCTTGGCATTTTAAGATTCTCCAGGTTTCCCAGTATTACAAAGAAAATGCTTATTGTATATGACTAATGTCCTTGACAGGAGAGAAAAATCAGTGAATTAAAGAATTATCCTTTTATTCGGATTTGAATTGTCAGCCTGCATGTTTGTTTAATTGAACTTGATGCTTTGAAGAGAACCATTGAAACACGAAAGTTAGACTTAGCTATTTCCTTGAATGAAATAGAATTTATTTTGAAATTCAGACACACTGTGAAACCCAACCAGAGTTGCAGTTTTTAATGTCCATGAATAGACCACAGTCAGGGGCGTGCTTCCAGCTACACAAAGGAGGAATTGGAGCTTATTATTTCTTGTCTGTATAACTACATTACGTACACAAGACTCTTAGTATATAGGGGGAACAGTGTAATGCAAGTCAGCAGACTTGCTCCTAACAAGCCCATTGGCTCCCAAAGCGTATTTGTTTGACCTCTCTTGGCTTTACTCTCTTCATCTATATCGGAGAATATAAGGATTGATGAAATAAAATCTAATGTTCTTCACAGATACAAAATTCAACGGCAATGACTTAACACCTGTTGTGTGAATGCCCTTATGCCTGGTGCTCTGCCACGCTGTTTCCTCCTCACGGACGAGAAGGGGGCTGTTCTGGGTCAGGAGACCTGGACTCTCACCCTGCCTCTGCTCCTGCCTACCCAGGACATCTTAGTTGACTTTATTTATCCATTTGGGAACTCGTTTTCCTCTCTGTAAATGATGAAGGCTCCTTGTAGCCCTAAATTTCTGAGACTTTACAGAAAGAAACACTTCCTACCTAGAGAGCTAAAACGATACAACTGCATAGGAAGAGAACACAAATACATGAAAGTGTGTGTATGTAATATACATGCTCTTTCCAGAGCATTTTTAGCTTTATAAATGACTTTCGCACGTTTTCTCAGACACTTGTTGTCTAAAATATGCATATCGAACTGTACCTTTCAAGGTTTTTCTAAGAGCCAAATATTTGGAGAAATAAAAAGCTTACAAGTCATATTTTCCTAAAAAGATAAATGACGAAAGTCAAATGGGGTCATATTTTAATGCCTTCCGAAGAGGTTTAAAATCAAAGTTTTAAAGAAATAACTCTGTTTTTGAAGACAGGTGAGAATGATGTTGCCAGAGGAAGGAATGGCCTGTGTGCTGGTTCAGAGGCAAAGGAGAGAATTTCTGTGGGTGGACATCAGGACAGTGTACAAGGACCACCAGGTGCTTCCCAAGCACCCCCGTCACGCAGTGCCCTCCTTCTGAGGCCAGGAGGAAAACAGCCTCGGAGATTCAGGCACATCTCCAAGGAAAGTCTTTCTCTGGGATAGAAAGAGTCCAAAAATCAGGGCCTTTTCCAGGCTCTACTATTGTGTGAACTGGAAGAGGGTACTTGTCTGTTGAAATCTGAGGAGGAGATAAGAATCTCGTATGTTGTGCAGAGTTACAAGAACTTTGTAAAGTCCAAAGCCTTAATACTCAAGGTATGGTCTGCTTGTTAGCAATGAGGAATCTCAGCCCGACCCCAGACCAGAATCAGAATCTGCATTCTGACGTGACACTCTGGTGATTTGCATGCACACTGAAGTGTGAGAGCAGAGTGGTCTAAAGCATACGCAAATGTGGGTAGTAGCAGTATTCAGGAGCTCATTTGTTAGTTGTAAAAAAGATGATAATGCAGAGCAGTAAGTTATCAATGGTGAGTGACTAATACAGAATGAAAAGTCTATATGAATGGGATATGAATTGCATGTTAAATAAAGAATACAAGATGTCTGTGTAAGGAGAAGGCTAGTCCTGTCAGGGGATATAACAAGAGTAGTTCTGTGGCTCCAGGAAGCTACAGGAAAGGGTAGAAGATTTGTGTTTGGAATGTATGGATGATGACGCTGGAAAGGTAGATAAGGTGCAGATTATAGGTTCAAATACTGAGACTCAGCCTTTTCGTTCAAGAAACTATTGTGTTCTCTGAGCCAAGCACCCCTGGACTTCACCCTCTAGGAAATGGGGGGCCGTTATGGGGTTTGAGCAGAGGAACACTATAAAGGGGAAGGATATTTGAGCATATCCCTGCTTTTAGAGAGCGTCTGTATTGTAATGGAAGTAATGTTCCATAGGCCTCTTGTGTACAGGGATGTGATTTGACCTTCAGAATAACAAAGTATTATTAGGATGCTGTTTAATAATAGAATTGTACGGTAATGTGTTAGCACATTATACTGTCGTATTACAATGCACTTTAATAACAGAGACATGATGATTGGAAAGCTCTTTCAATTCTGCAGTGGCTTGTGAGTTGGTGGAAGGGTAATTATAAGGAAGTCGACGTGCCATTCTTTGATAACAGTAGCCCAAAGGCCTGGAATAACCGCATAGCATCTCTCTTCTCTCTGTGTCAAGTGGAAAGAGGTAGCAATTCTTGCCTTGAGTTGTTAGGAAAAGCATCTGTTGAAAATAAAACATGTTATAAATTGTAGCGCCTACCACCCCCCACCCCATAAAGCAAAATGCCCTGCTTGCTTGTGTTGTTCTGGTCGCCAGCATGTCAGCTTTGATATCAGCCATTACCCCAGTGGGAGCTGGGCCATGGGAAGCCTTTTGCCTTTCTGGGGAAGCAGTGCGGGCAGATATTTTAGTTCATGGCTGTTTTTACCTCTGGCTTACTTATAAGTTGTCATTTCCATCCTCTTATGCATCATAGATTATATGCCTTTATCTGCTTCATTAGAATTTTCTAATTAATGTTCCCTCTCCTGGTCCCTGGACTGGACCATCACAGCTCTCAGTGTTGTCACCTAGAAGTATCTGAGAGCTCAGAAGCTCCAAGGCAAACCGTTTGCTATCAGCCTTCTCTTTTCCTCTGTTTAAAGGAAAGGCAGATAAAATCCGGAACATCCTGCTAGACCTCAGAATGTGACATCGGGAAGAGGCTTTGGTGTGGTCTCCTGTGCTGCCTCTCTGCCAGGCGCTCCCCCGAGGGACATCCTGCCTCCTGTTACAGCTTTGGTGTCTGCAGGGGCAGCCTCCCAGGCCGTTCCTGCCCACTGACCTGTCGGGTTTAACAGATGCCTCATTTCTGTTGGCAGCTTTTCAATAGGCAGAAAATGAAACTTATCTGCAGGAAGTGTCACTGCCACCTGCAGTCATACACTCTGGTACCCAGGGTCCCCTGTCATTCTCTCTCCAGATGGGTCTTGTGTTTCAGAAAGTGGCTGTGGCAGGGGAGCATGGCCTATTGTTTCCTTTGTTTTCTGCAAGGCTTGTGACCATCTCCGTGTTGTCCTGTAACTCTGTCTTTGCAAAGCTTAGCAGGAAATGGGAAGGAAGGGGTACAACATGTGTTGCTGGACTGAAACTCCCAGAAACACCCCAGGAACGGTCTGAGCGGTCATCTACCTCCCTGTCTCTAAGATGTCAGCTTTTCCCTTGCTGGTAGCTATTCTCTTTTTTGTGTTCCTTTAGTTTACAATGGTTTGAAAATGGATCTCTCCTTTGGATTTTTGAGAGCGCTGGTTTCTTTGCAATCTCCTGGAATTATAAGATTACCCTCCTGCTCTCCCTCTTCCTAATCAGAAAACCAGTATGAGGCCTTATAATACCGAGTGTATCAGAACTGGGGGTCCTCTACAAAATGTAAATGCATATATTCTTGCCATTGCTTTCCTGGGACAAGAACTTCTGTATACAACTTGGCTGAAGACTGTGCCGTTTGCAGATTTTCTTCTCAAACCTCTGCGGAGTTGTCAGCATGATTGTATCTATTAGGCTGCATGTAGGGAGGTGGCATTCTTTTCCCTCTTATTTTTTGTCTTCTCCAGTCTCATTTGAGGCTATGGGTTAATGAAGCTGTGTGCAACATGGAAATCCTTCTTTATGACAGTCAGATAGTAAGGCCACATGACCTTGCCCAGGGGGTCCTTTTAACCAGGTGAATTCTGGAGTGCCATGTGGTGGGCTGTGTACAGGTAGCCCTTTTCCTCTAAGGGCCCTGGAGCGTGTTGTGGTCATGGGTCTCCATCTGTCTAATCTAGAGACAAACAGGTGAACTACCTGACACGTTGGAAAATCATTTGAAAAGCAATGTAACTGATACAAAGCAAGTTAGCTTACATGACAATTAGGAAGCAGGCATCCTGGCCTCAGTCCGCATTGTTTGCTGTGGACTCCTGCTCAGGCAGCTTCGTTCACATGCTGACTCTGCAGTTTACCAGGTAGCAGATGTTGAGCAAGTCCACTTTCTAGGTCTCAGTTTCCTCATCTGTAAAATTGGCATAATAATGAGATATATCTGCAGAGCATGAAGCCTGACATTTACAAGGTATTTGGTAAATATTTCCTATTGTGGTTTATCATGCCATGGTTGTTCCCCTTATCTATCTTTCCTGAAGAGTTATAAAGTTACAAGATTTTTAAATGCCTCAAATAAAGAAGTTTTAGAAATGCAGATATTAGCTAGATCCTCCTTAGCCAAGTGGAGGGAGCTGATTAAATGTATCTAGTTATCGAATCATTTTCTCCAGGAGAAAGCGCTGGTGCTTTATGAGAATTAATCTTTCCTCTCTGTCCTTTCGGATGTTCTCTTTTCTGACTCAAGCCTTAGATTTAGCTTTTCTGCTACTGTTTTACAGACCTGTCCCAGCCGCGTCCACTTAGCCTCCTGGAGGTCCCCAATACTCTGTGCCTCCCGTTGCTCTTGCATCCATGACTTTCGTTACATACTGTCTTTTCCCATGGAGTGTGCAACTCTCCCCGTAGAGAAGGCTTCTGCCCCACAGAGGCAACACTTTACTCCCTAGTGAATGCAGTCCTTTGGCCCCGGTCATAACTACCGTTTAAATCTGGGGCATTCGTCCCCTGAACACTCACTCCCTCTCACACACTGACTGGCAGCTGGCCTATGACTCGAGGATAAAGGATCTCATCCCATTTTGTCACTTGCCCTTCCCGTGATCTTGGTCAAGTCCATTAACTCCTCATGTCCTTAGTTTTAGCCTTATTAAAGTGCTGTCCTCTCTACTGATGCTTAGGAATGAGGAGGAGCTCAGCATCCTTAGGAAAAAAAAGAAGTCTTATGCAATTATTACCTTTTCCCCCTTACGTTGTCAACGGGTCTGTGACTAGGACATTATTTTTATGTCCTGAGGTCAAATCCTCATTGTTGCTGCTTCGCACTGAGGCTTTCACCCCTGCTGCTCACTTATTGCACCACCCAGATTCATGGAGAAGAATGGAACAGGGAGGTTTTCTTAAGCTGTCCTATTCTGTGCTCACATCAAGGCTGGACTGTTTCATGATCTTCATGTTCACGGCTCCAAGATAAACCTATACTGGTGGCTTTCTTGGTTCAGTTACCTCCCTTAGTAGAATAACCAAAGTACTGTCTTGGGATTAGGGATGGTTTACAGCAAACACATTCACTGTTTTATATTCCATACCTTGTCCCCACTTCTGTAAGCTCCTTGGGGTTGGGATAGTTTCTTCTTCCTTCACATCTTGTCGTGGCACATAGCAAAACCATCTTTCCCAACGGGGAGCCTAGAAATTTTACTGGCAAGCAATTCTTATTCTACACTGTAGTCAGATTTTCAAAGGTTCTTTATTTATAAACATGTCTGTCTATAGAAAGGAAATGGTTTCATCCATTGCAGCCCCTGTCACAAAAATACCAGAAGCATAGTGCTCAGGATGTTACATGCACAGGTATGCAGCATCCATTGATTAGCCATTGACTGTCCTGAGAGGTAGGGGTCCTAGTCTGTCCTCTTGGCAGCACTGCGAGGAGGCTTTTTGTACAAACATCACTGCCGGTTTGCTAGGATCACATTGATATTCTCTCTTATTTAGACACGGTATTAAACACATCTGTATCCTAAGTGAGTTTATAGTTTCTAAAAGCAACCGCATAGCTTGCAAGAGATTTACATTTCACTTACGTAACTTATTATTTACATAGAAACTTCGTGGCTTAGATAATAGTATATAAACCTCCATCTAGGAAGAGGGCATCTTGGCCTTGGTGTCTATGAAAGAAAGTTTTTACTGTTAGATGTAAATGCTCCCGAAATTGACCTTTAAATGTCCCCTGAAATGACCACTCTTATCCTAGGGAGTAACACTGCTTTCTTCTGTAGGGACCTCCAGCCCCTGCCTCATCCAGCAGCCCCAGAACTACTCCTACCCTTCCAGGCACGCTCTGCAGCCTCCAGCTGTCCTCCGGCCGCCTCCCTGCCTCTCACATCCTCCCAAATCCAACATAATTAGCGCTTTTCCCTGTGTTGCTGATTTGTTGGTCCACAATTATGATGTATAAATAGCCCACAAACAAGAACACCAAACAATTTGAACTTCGGCTTCGGTCTGTTTTGAGTGGTAGTTTTTTAACATGATCAGGCTGCAGATGTGAGCTTGGAGAGATGATAGCTGTAGGAAGGAAGAGAAGAGCTTTCTCTGGCTCCTGCTTGAAACTCTGCCTTCCTGAGGAGGCAACGAGGAGGACCGTGGGCTAGGAGACTGGGTGTTTGTAAATTGTATTTTGTTAACAAGCACAATCATAGTGCTAGCATTTAAAACTTCTTAGAATCCTACTCTCAAAATGTGAAGGACCTTTCATGTCACTGGGGAAGATTCTGGGGTCCACAAAACTTGGGCAACTTGCACCAAGTCATTTTTTTTTATTTTAAATAAATTTTATTTTGTATATTTAAGGTGAACAACGTGATGTTATGAAATACATCGAGATAGTAAAAAGGCTACTACAGTGGAGCAAAATAACATATTCATCATCTCAAATAGTTACCCGTCTTTTTGCTTTTGTGGCAGAAATCTCACCAAGTCATTCTTTAGGCTCACTGCACTGTTTTGGGTAGTAGTTAAATTTTCCCAGGGCCTAAGATCAATTTTAACTAAGGGACAGATAAAGAATTTCACTTTTTCTCTTACTGGTTTTGCCTTTCCAGTTGATATTTATTTATATCTTAAGAATATTCTTAACTGGATGATTTTTTTCCCAAATCATTTTGAACCAAGCTCACTTTTCTTTCCCGTGTACCATGGGCAGTGGTGGTCTCCACGTGGCCTCCTGTTGTTGATTTTATGTGCCAGGAAGGAAGAAAGAAAGAAAAAGAGGATTGTGTCCCATCTGTCCTACTGGGAGTCAAAGCCCTTAAGGAAGAACAGATTCAGCTTCCTCACAGTGTCCTGGGATGGTGCCCTCGGGCTAAAGCAGGGCTCTCTATTCTGCAGGCTTTGTGCCCATCTGCTGTCTGGGGCTGTCTCAGATTGGCCGCATGAATCTCGGGACAGATGCCAGTACCTTCAAGTTTTATACCATGTGCGGTCTGCAAGAGGGCTTTGAGCCTTTTGCTGTCAACATGAACAGAGATGTTGCTATGTGGTTCAGCAAGCGCCTCCCGACGTTTGTCAACGTGCCAAAGGACCATCCACACATAGAGGTAATGTTACACAATGTGTGTGGCCCTGGCAGGTCAGGTGGGCCAAGGCCCGAAGCCCCCCCCAGGTCTCCTGTCAACAGGCAGCTGCTTACCTAAGTCCATGCCCTGGCTACTTACCAGCCATCTCCCCGCTGGCCCTCAGAGCCGCAGTTGCAGGCACCTTAATTGGGGCCGCCCAGTGGCATCTCACGAGAGACAGCAGCCTTGCACATACAACCCTGCAGATCGACTCTCAACATTTTGGTCCACCGCATTTGCTCTGGATGTTCCTGTACTGTATTGTCATAGTAATATAGTATCTGGAGACCTTAAACCTTTTTTTTTTTAAGTTCAGGCTGGATGTGGTGGCTCACACCTGTAATCCCAGCTTCTTGGGAGGCTGAGGTGGGAGGATCCCTTGAGCCCAGGAGTTCGAGGCTGCAGTGAGCTATGATCACATCACTCTACTGTAGCCTGGGTGACAGAGAGAGACCCTGTCTCTTGAAGCAATTCTTTTATTTAAAAAATTTAGGCCAGGCGCAGTGGCTCACGCCTGTAATCCCAACACTTTGGGAGGCCGAGGCGGGCGAATCACAAGGTCAGGAGATCAAGACCATCCTGGATAACATGATGAAACCCCATCTCTACTAAAAATACAAAAAACTAACTGGGTGGGGTGGTGGGCACCTGTAGTCCCGCTACTCGGGAGGCTGAGGCAGGAGAATGGTGTGAACCCGGAAGGCGGAGCATGCAGTGAGATCATGCCACTGCACTCCAGCCTGGGCGACAGAGCAAGACTCCGTCTCAAAAAAAAAAAATTTAAAAGTTCAGTAGCTATATTCAAGATTATGTGTACTGAACATGTATGTTCTTACCCACCCGTGACTTGATGTCTTGTAGGACCTATTTAATTTTTAGATGGTGTTGCCAAGATTTTAAGCTGACGTGTGATCATTGAGTAATCTATCCCCATCTTCTAGGGGGAGCCTAACTTTGGTTCTGGCCCTACATCGACTTAGACTTGCCTCTGTTTTGGTTCACAGACCATGGTTTTTCCATGGTGGATGGGAGAAGAGTGTTGATTTAAAAATAAAATGCCAGACAGATCAGCCCCATTGCAGCTGTAGTCAAAGTAGATTCAATGGTTTGCTTCAACCTCACTGTAAGTTCCTTCACTCATCCTCCCATCTGAATTCAACAAGCATCAACCTTAATGCCCCACTTCTTCCTCAGTTAAATAGCAGAGACTTTTATTTCTCTGATTCCTCCCTAACCATTACTTTAGAAGACTGGCTCTTAAACTTTTGGAGGTCATAAACCCCTAGAGGCCCTCTGCTTAGAAAAATATAAAACCATACAAATATGAAGTATTCTCATAGGACCCAGGACACGAACAGCTCTCCAGAGAGCAAAGAGAGGCTCAGATTGTAAGAAGATTATTATTGTAAGCCTCAGTTCATTTCCCCTGTATCCCCGCATTTCCCTCTCCACACACATTGCAAAAATCCATTTCTGACCTTTTCTCCCCCAACTGTGCCCCCTGCAATGCTTGTGCCTAGGAACTGCAGCTTTCTCCAGTATTGGGAGGAGGCTCCAGGAGCCTCAGCCTTCAGACCATGACTGTGGCAGAGATGAGAGCTGGGCTGGGTTGGGAGGGTGCCCGCCTGAGGAGCTGGACATCCTTCCTGAGCTTTGGGATTACTTTTGCCCCTTCCCTTAGATGTTCTCATGCCCAGTGACAAGCACAGCCCTTGGAAAGATTATCTTCTTTAGCCGCTTGCCCCCTGCCCTAAAAGTTTAGCCTCTGTGGACACTATGCTGTGTCTGCCAGATGCCGCCCCACTCTGGCGCATTTATTCTCCACCCTTGGCTTTACAGAGAACCCAGTGAGCATGTTTTTAAATCTCTAATTTCCCTAGCCAGGAGCAGATCTGTTTCTTCCTACAGGACAAGGCCCAAGTAATGATGAGAATCATAGTTTGATTATCACTGGACACAACTTACTTCTGTAGTTCACAGAATGCCTTGCCATGTGCACGTCCACGAGGGAAGAAGGGACTGGGTCGAGGTCAGGCCCTTTGGTATGTCAAGGTAAGGACTCGTCCTGTTTCCAGGTCATGAGGATTGATGGCACCATGGACAGCCCTCCGTGTCTCAAGGTGACCCATAAGACATTTGGCACACAGCATAGCAATGCCGACATGATCTACTGCCGCTTGAGCATGCCTGTCGAGTGCCACTCTTCCTTCAGCCACAGCCCCTGTCTGGACAGTGAAGCTTTCCAGAAAAGGTGAGGGTGAGGCCTCCAGTTCTCAGAGGCACTCGTATCTGCTGTAAAGTGGGCTTTCTGCTTTTTACCCTAACTCAGCACACAAACTCCATAGATAGGGTTCTCTCTGCCTTCAGCCAGGTTAAAAAAAAAAAAAAAAAAAAAAGGGAATGTGTGTGCACACATGTGCATACAAGTACACGTGTGTGTTTGTGCCGTGCATAATTAAGGTGCCAATCATGCTAAACAGATGCATCTGGTGGTAAAGTTTCTGCTCTTCTTGAAGTCTGGGCCCCTACCTTCCTTGCTGCCCACAACTCCTGTGTTTTGTGAGGGCATAAGAGGGTGCAATTATTTTTGGTGTTGTGTGTAATTAGAAGTTTCTGGAGGCAGATACTGCCTCCTTTGCATAACTATGGGCATTGTCCAACTCTGCAGCTGTGTGATTCATGGGCCATGTGTCTTCTTTCTTCCTGATAAGGAATATATTCCTTGCTGTCTTTCTTTCCCCGATGTCTATTTTTAATCATTGATGTATGTCTGCTGCCTGGAGCCGTCTTGTTGGGGTTTCCTCTAGAGTTTTGCTTTCTACCAAGCTTTTAAACAAGCACAGCTGCTTGAGAGAATAGGATAACCTATTCAGAGGTATCCCTGCTTATACTATTGCAGTCTTCCATCCTCACTCTCAACTTACCATCTAACTTACCATCTGGGCTGAGGGATAAGAGTTGGGAGTTACATCCCTGCCTTGTGTTAACAGCTTACAAATGAACAGTCCCAAGACTGGTTGCAATCACTTGTGTCTAGGAAGCAGCCACTTTACTAAACTTGCCTTGATCATTAAAGGTAGATCGGTTGCCTGTCGGAACTGTGGGATTCTCTATACAGCTGACTAACTAAAACATGGATTATCTTTCCCCCAGGAAACAGATGCAAGAAATACTCTCTCATACAACAACAGTAAGTAAATGTGCTCAATTATGGTTTTAATTATTTGATTCTTCGTTGTGCCTGGTAATATGCCCCTTACAGCAAAGATCTGTCTAGAGATCCTCTTTAATTGCCAATTACTCTGTCTTTTAATATCCATCTTGATGCTTCCAGAACACATCTATGGCATTTCTCAAGTGGGGAAAAGAAATACAGTTACTCAGTGCAAAGCAAAAGCTCTACCTGGAGCTCCTAACTGGGCATCATTGGGTTCTTGTTGCCCATTTGCCATCAGGAACCCAACACAGCCTTTCTGACTGAAATGAGCATCAGTGGAGGGCGCTCAATTCAATCTTTTGGTTTGCTTTTTTTGTGTAAACTTTTGTGAGTCAGCTCCCCCGTGTCTCTGTGCAGTACTAGGAGTGATGTTAAAAGCAATCAAATGAGAAGAAGAGCAAGAAGCCAACGCAGAAGATGGAAGCTACTTTTGGTCCCTAGACAGTAGTCAGAAAGCACCTCCTGATTTTTCTTTCTTTTGCTCGTTCTTCTTTAGCATCTGGCAAAAAAAAAAAAAAGGTTTATGGAAGCAATGCATGTGTGTCAACCCTTCTTTAAAGTTATCCAACAATCCTGAATTTGTAGGTTCACTTTCATCAGGAGTAAGATTCTTGCTGCAGTGAATCACACACTTAGTGTGTGTGGGACACTGTGCTTGGCACATTGTCACCTTCCCATTTAATCTCCATTTAATTCATTTAAAATTAATCAGCAAGCCCTGAAATGGATAATATGATGCATAATATTATGCACAGAGAGGACAAATGGTTTGTCCAAAGTCACTTGATGAATACCTGGCAGTGTCAAGATTCAAACCCAGGTTTGTTTAGCTGACCCTTTTTTTCTTCTGGTCAAGAAAATTTGACAGACTACAAGAAAGAGCCACTTCATTAAGAATGAATCTGCTCAGTTTCATAAGGAAAATGATGAGGTAGTCACCTGCCTCAGTGCTGTAGCTATTGTTGTAATACAGTGATAACCCCATGAACTGTGTGAGCTCTGCCAAAAACTGCAATACTTCTCAATACTGCCTATAGTTGAGTGTGACAGCTACATAAAGCACATTTGGCCATGACATGAACTCTTTCTTAAGCAACCTCTTTCAAGATTTTCCAGAAAAAAGCACTGGACCTCCTTGTAGAAGGAGAAAGTGTAACAGGAACGCTCTGAGCCTTGACCACTCTCTCTCTGAGGGCAGGGACTGTGCCCGCTCTCTCCTGCAGCCCAGATCTGCCCTGGTGCCCAGGGGAGGGTTAGGGCTCTGTGCTGCCATTCTGAGCAGCTGCCACTGCTTCCATCCACAGCATCTCCTGATTTCAGCACCAGCGTCTTCTGGGCAAAGGGTGGTAGATTAGCTTAAGCATTTGCTTTGCCAGATGCTACAGCAAAATAGAAAGGAAAAATTAGGAAGCCAGAATCCCTATTCAGCCTTCCTTCCAGATCTAGCATGTAGTCTACCTCTACTAGTGTGCACTTTTCCAGAAAAAAAAAAAAAGGGCCAAGTGAGCTGCTGTGTTATTTCTGCCTCTTGAGCCCTCTCTCCTCAACTGGATGGGGGCCATTGACTCCCATCTGCATTCTCTCCACAGCAGTGCTACTATGCCATCCGCATCTTTGCTGGACAAGATCCATCCTGCGTCTGGGTCGGATGGGTGACTCCAGACTATCACTTGTACAGTGAAAAGTTTGACCTGAATAAAAACTGCACAGTGACTGTCACCCTAGGGGATGAAAGAGGCCGGGTACACGAAAGGTAAGGGGGCTTCCAAGTGGCAGGATTAGCCATCGGGCTTCTCAGTCCCTCGCCCCAGTCTTTTTCTTCTATCCCACACCCAAAGAAGGAAACATCTCAGCCTCTCTTAAAAGGAGAAAATGAAGTACAGGCTTCAGATAACAAACCAGTACTATGACAGTGAGAAAAAGTGCTAGTGAAAATAGAGAAGAATTTCATCATGTATATAAACTGTGACCCAGGGATGGAAAATATAGACAGACAATGGGGTACGTGATCTCTCTCTGAGTTTTTTCCAGGACCTCTGGGCAAGTCCCAATTTCTACAACATCAGAACAAGACAGAAAATCTCTGGATGCTTGAGAGAAGTTGATTCAGAAGAAATAAAAAGATACAGCACATCACACACTAACTGATACACTCAGAATTCCTCCTCCCAAGAGCTTATAATGGTTGAAAGCATAAGGAATCAAAGAGACATTGAGACTTCATGAATAATAACCACCAAATAGAAATTAGGAAACTTTAGAGGCAAGCACATTCTAGGCATACCATACACTCCAACTGGTCTGCTGGTGCTGCCGGAGAAGCGATTGTTGGCCAGATGTGCTCCAGAGGTGACTCAGGAGACCGTGGCTTGTGGTTTCCCTCTGTTCCCCACCTGCGTGAGGTACAGGAGCATCTTTCCCTATACAGCCATATGTAGAGATGTCGTAAGTTGTTTTTCAAGCTGGCCTTTGCTCCCTGCAAAGACAGGAACGTCTTGCAACCAGTGCCCTTTAGAGAATATTGGCTCACCAAAGACTAATGGCCAGAGGTGAGTCACAGTCACTGTGTCATGAGGGACCAGCAGCTGGTTAAGAGTGCTGGCTTAGACCGGGCACGGTGGCTCATGCCTGTAATCACAGCACTTTGGGAGGCCAAGGTGGGCAGATCACGAGGTCAGGAGATCGAGACCATCCTGGCCAACATAGTGAAACCCTGTCTCTAGTGAAAATATGAGAATTAGCCGGACGTGGTGGCACATTCCTGTAGTCCCAGCTACTCGGGAGGCTGAGGCAGGAGAATTGGTTGAACCCAGGAGGCGAATGTTGCGGTGAGCCGAGATCGTGCCACTGCACTCCATCCTGGCAACAGAGCAGGACTCTTATCTCAAAAAAAAAAAAAAAGAATGCTGTCTTTAGAATAAACTGCCTGGGTTTGTAGGGGTATGACATTGGACCAGTCACTTAATCTCCTTGGGCCTTGATTTCGTCATCTATAAGATGAGGATAATAGTTTCTGTTATCACGGAGTATTGTGAGGATTAAATAAGTTAATTCATAGAAAAATTCTTAGGACAGTGCCTCAACTCAGGCACTCAATAAATTTCAACTACAGTCATCCCTTGGTATCTGAGCTAGATTTGCCCCAGCATCTTCCACCTATACCAAAATCCACTCATACTCAATGACCGCAGTCAGCACTGAACCCCGGTATAGGAAAAGTCAGCCTTCCCTATACATGAGTTTTGCACCCTGTGAACACTGTATTTCCAATCCATGTGTGCTTGAAAAAAATTCGCCTTAAGTGTACCCATGTATAATGGACCCATGCAATTCAAACCCATGTTTTTCAAGGGTATAATTATTATTCCCATTATTGAATGTCCATCATTATGAAAGCCAAAATAGATGCTATGAGCAACATCTGGTTTAGATTGGAAAGGAAAGGATTCTAAAGTAATTGACCAATCCAGGCTTTGTTCTTCAGCCAGAAGAAAAGGCAGAAGTGTCCTCCTCATTTGAGTTTGTAATTCCAGTTTGCTGGCTCTACCATACGAGATCGATTACTTGATTTATCTGAGCCTCCGTGGCCGTACTTACTGTGGAATTTAACTAACATTTTAGCACCTAGGAGAAGACATACTATGTGGTACACATTCAATAATTCTTACTTCTTTGTCCTACGTAATAAGAAATAAATACAAAATCCGTTTACAGATGCTTTAGGACATTTTGAATTTAGGTCTTTAATATATGACCAAAGCCAACTGCTTCACATTCCCACAGCTTGAATACATTATTAATTGAATTCCGTATTAGTCATCAGTGTGGCTAGCATCTTAATCACTAAAAAGTAGTACTAACATGGCTGCAGTTATGGAACTCTAATAATGCTATAACTCTTTGAAAGAGGCTATTGGCACTGGCCCCTGCCTGAGGGCATTCACAGGAAGTGAGCATGAGGGCTTTCACAGGAAGTGAGTGGACCCATTGTTGCCCCAAAGGAGAGGACAGGAAATTAATGCATGCTTACCAAGGGGGAAAGTGATAGACTTCTACAGGCAGAAGGAACCTTGGCGAATCCTAATTGAACCCTTGGTTTTTCAAATGAGAACATCATCCCGAGAGGTGAAGCAACTCTCAGAATTGACAGAATCTATTCCAGGACCTACCCACCCCACGGTGCCAGATGTACTGTCTCTGCCCCTGTGTGGCTTTGCCCTCCATGCTGAGGACCACAACAGGAAGCCGGGCTGAGTCACATCACACTGACCCTAAGATGTTTAAAGGGGCTGTTCTTGCATCAGGTATAGCGTCACCCTTTGATTTGAGAAAAGTCATGTCATGTCACTTCGAGGGACCAGGTGCCTGAGCTGACGTACACCAGTGTGTGTTTAGAAGGCGAAAGAATCAGTCGTCTCTTGCCCACGGTGGGGAGCTGTGAGAATCACCTCAGCCACTGCGCATCTCCACAGCTCATCTGGGATGTGAAATCCTACAATTAAGGAATCAGGCTTTGGAGCCTTAAGGACTTTTTCATTATTACAGTTTGATTTTAAGTGTAAATACCTGTAATGGAGTTTTGTATTCTGGGGGTTGATAGACAGAAAGCTAAGCAAGGCACCTAAGTTGATGGTTAGCCAGTAGTGCGGGAGGCAGAACTCCAAGGCATTGGGAAGGACAGGGGCATATAAGTCAAGGTAGTGGCGAGGTGTCAGAGAAAAACTACTTCGTAGGGAGCCCAGGCTGGCCATCCTAAGGAATGTGGGCCTGAGTTTTCAAGTGTTTTACTGCCTTTTGCGCTGATTACCAGACTGGGACTCTGAACCCAGACTTTTGTTTCTGCCTCTTATTCCAAATCCCCATGTAAGTTTACCAAAGGTGGTCATTCACCCCATGCCTCAATTTCCCATCTCTGTGGTGGGATGCTGCCATTCCCTGATCTGTTTCACAAAGGTGTGTTGATGTTGAGTCTGGAAACAGTTCTCTGAACATTGTGCTCTTTGGAAGGAGGTAGCCTGAATAGATTGCCACAACCCTACACTGAGTGGTTCATGTCTGAGTAAATGGGGGTGAAGCTAAATAAACTCATTTAAGAAAAAAAAATTATTTGGGGCTGAACAGAAAGCTTCCTAGGAAAGTTTCTGTAGCTATTTTCATTTCATTCCTGAGTCTTGATTACAAACTGCCCCAGTCCAGATTCTCTGCCTTTTCCTGTCTTGGCTCCTAGTGTGAAACGCAGCAACTGCTACATGGTCTGGGGCGGGGACATAGTGGCCAGTTCCCAGAGATCGAATCGGAGCAACGTGGACCTGGAGATTGGCTGTCTTGTGGATCTGGCAATGGGCATGTTGTCCTTCTCAGCCAACGGAAAAGAACTGGGCACCTGCTACCAGGTAAGGGTGGCTTCTGGGGCCGAAACAGGGCCATCCCAGGCCTGGTGTTTGTGACTGTGTTCCTTGTTCTCGGTACTCAGCATTCCTGCTGAGTACCACAGTGTGTCAAGCTGATGAGCCCTTGTGGGCCATGGACCACTTAGGAAAACAAATAAACAAGAACAAAGTTACTTCAATGTGTGCAGAGAAAACAGGGCTGGGCAATCATAGTTACTGGTTGATCCAGTATGCTGGTCATCTTTCTAGAGGATGAAAAGGCTTTTCCTTGGTGTTGAGCTGTAAAAGGTTTTTCATTTATTTCATAAATATTTCTTGTGCAGCCTTATCAATTACCTGCACTATACAAGATGCAAGATGTAAAGTGTGAACAGAAATACTTCTCACTTTAAGAAACTTCTGTACTCAAAATAGAAACCTATAAAAATGGATTAATTTGCCAGGAAGTATCCCTTTTGCAAAAAGGTTATCCACATTCCCTATGACTACCTTACAGGATGCTTTAAAAATACATTTATGGGCCAGGCCTGGTGGCTCACACCTGTAATCTCAGCACTTTGGAAGGCCGAGGCGGGGGGATCATGAGGTCAGGAGATTGAGCCCATCCTGGCTAACATAGTGAAACCCTGTCTCTACTAAAAGTGCAAAAAAAATTGCCAAGCGTGGTGACCCGTGCCTGTAGTCCCAGCTACTCGGGAGGCTGAGGCAGGAGAATTGCTTGAACCTGGGAAGTGGAGGTTGCAGTGAGATGAGATCACGCCACTGCACTCCAGCCTGGGCAACAAAGCAAGACTCCCATCTCAAAAAAAAAAAAAAAAATTAATATAAATAATGTGTTTCCTCGTTTCCTGGACCGTGAACTTCCATAGAGCTACTCAGGAAAACCATCCATTATACACATGTAGGTTTAACTGTCATTAACCACAAGCAGCCTGATCTCTTCATTCTTGATGGCCAGGCGAGCTTGGGAAACTGCCACAAATCAAATCCTCTTGAAGTTTTGTAATGAAGGTTAGCACACTGAAATATGTGAGAAGTACTTCAGAAAGAAACCTATCTAACCAAGCAATTCGCAAATTATTTGACACAGAAAAGCACTTTATTAACTTTAAGAACCAGTAATATTCTGTGAACCTAGAGTTCCACAGAGCATACTATGGGACATGGGAAGTTAACGAATTAATGTCTGTGTTAAACATTCTTGACTCTCCAGGGTAGAATAGAGAGTCACAAGTATTTGTAGACAGAGAACGCGATACGAGTTCAAAAAAGGAAGAGCTCATTCCATCACGAGCAGTCAGGAAAATGTTCATTAAGGAGAAATCTTGATTTTTTTTTTTTTTTAAGGAAAAAGCATTTGTATAGGTCAGGCGTGGAAGCTCACACCTGTAGTTTCAGTATCTTGGGGAGACCGAGGCGGACAGATCACTTGAGCTCAGGGGTTTGAGACCAGCCTGGGCAACATGGTGGACCCTCGGCTTTACAAAAACTACAAAAATTAGCTGTGTGTGGTGGCATACACCTGTAGTCCCAGCTACTCAGGAGGCTAAGAGAATCGCTTGAATCTGGGGAGGTCAAGGCTGCAGTGAGCCATGGTTGTTCCACTACACTCCAGCCTGAGTGACTGAGTGAGACCCTGTCTTAAAGAATGAATGAGTTTTCATGGGTAGAAAGAGAAGAGTGTTGAATACATAGCTCAAGAAGCATTATGGAGGTAGGGAAGCATGAAGTGTGCTTAAGGATCAGTGGACATCGCATAGGGCTCTTACAGTTATTGGTAAGAAATGTATTTGGAAAACTAGGGAGGTATAGATAGGAAATGGGGAGCCATTGAAGGTTTCTGAGCAGAAGAGCGGCATGCAGTATTTAAGGAATCCAGCAGTTTTTCAGGGTCACTGGTTTACCTAACTATAGCAAATTAAAAACATCCTGCTATGATGTACATGGATACAACTCCTGATTCTTAAGTCAGCCTCAGGTTACAGCCTCAAGGCTGAAAAGCCTCTTGGCAGCCAGTTCTCTGGCCTGTGGTTGGAGAGATGAGGTAAGGTAGAGAGGAGACAGAGTAGCCACCTCCCATCTGAAATGTTCATTGACTAAGAACAGATGGAGCAAACCCTTCCTGGGGGCGGGGAACAGCCTGCTGGCACACAGGCCGCCACCTTGTCTCTCCAGCACCTCCCGCAGCGCATGACCCTCTCGGCACCTCCTCCTCCTCCTGAGAGAAAGTGGAATCATCACCACTTGGCAGGCTTGCTTCAGCCGCTGGGGCACAACCAGCTGTTTCCAGAAAGATGCACTCGCAAAGCCAGTCTTTGAGACAGAAAGTGAAGTATTATTCTTCCAGTACTTTTTCATGATTCTATCTCCTCCACCCCCAAATCCCCTGAGAAGTGTTTTATATACGTTACTGCTGTCCTTCAGAATCCATTATTTTTTTCCCATTAACTTTAGAAACGAGTGTAACTGAAGGGCCCTCCCTGAGCTGCAGAGAACGCTAAAGCGTCTCGTAACTTTTAAGACTAGCTGATCTTTGGAAGTTCAAAAAAGTTAATTAATTTTTTCACATGGCATTTGCAGCAGCAGTGACTTGTCTGCTTCAGGAAAGAGCCCGTGATGTTGAAGAGGAGGACACTGTGGCAGCTTTAGCCCACCTTTCACCATCCTCCTGGGTGATACAGGCTGGTCAGTTGTCTTCTTTTGGCTGGGTGCTGGTACCTGCCTCCTGGAGAGCCTTCCTCCACCCCATGCATAGAAATCCTCATCGCCCTGCTCAGCGGTCCCAGTCCTGACTCTTGCCCTAAAGGATGCTGCTACACAGGAGACGGTGTCAGGACTCTGTCCAGAAAGCTGAGAGGCTCACACCCAGCCAGCCCCCTTCTCATTCCAGGCGAGACAGTAACGTGTCCTGCCATGCATCTGGTCCCTGACAGTGGGATCGTTGTTATTCCAGAGCTGTAGCCACTTTCATTTTTCAATTATCTCAAGAACAGTCCAGCAATATTTATACCCTGGCTTTCAGATTCAGAAAGGACTCGAAACCAAAATAATGAGAGAAGGAGTCTCTCAAAGAATGTTTCTAGACCTCCCCATTAAATAGTGATAAGCAATTTGAACACATTTTTCTGTCCCACTTAATATAATCAGTGGAGAATTTGAGAAAGAAAATCTACCTTCAAGAGATACTTCTCAGGGATTGCCACTCCAGGCACACCAGTCTGAGACAGAGGCAGCTATGTGATCCGGATTTACAAGAGGCGTTAGCTTTCAGTTCAGGCCGGTTCCTATGCCATGACCTTCACACATGATTAGAAAAAGGATGTCCATTATTGTAAGGACAAAACAGATCAGCCGGTGATGAAAAGTGCCTCAGATACAAAAGGGAACGTGTCGGTGGCACACCACAGCAGTGCTAAATCTGGGCTGGTTGCACAATCCATGGGCATGTAAGTTCCTCATTTAGAAGGTAAGCTCCTTGAGGGTAGAGACCCTCTCCCGTGCTCACTGCCACCTCCCCAGGCATGAAACAGTACCTGGCACCTAGTGAATGCTCACCAAGTATGTGTTGCCAGACTGACCCACGGCTGGGAAATCCCCTTGTAGGCATTTTTTTTATTGCTGCCTGAGAAGTGACCGCAAAATTTAGCAACTTCAAACAACACACATTATTTCAGGGTTCTGCAGGCTTGACTGGGTGCTCAGGTTCTCAGAAGGCCAAACAAAGTGTGTCCTGGGCCTGAACCAGGCTCGTCTGGAGACTTGAAGATGTTTCCACTTCTGAGTTCATTCAAGGTGTTGGCAGTTCTTTGAGGTTATGGGTCTTAGGTCATAGATTCTGAGGCCCCTGTTTCCTTGCTGGCTATCAGCCAGGGCCACTCTCAGCTCCCAGTGGATACCCACATTCCTTTACATGTGCCCCCCTCCGTTTCAAAGCCAACAAGGACACATTCGGTTTTTCTCTGTGATTTTGCCTTCTTCCCCCAGCAGGAAAACTCCTGCTTTTAGAAGACTCGTGCAATTTGAAAAGGCCGACAAGGCCTCCCTATCTTGAGGGCAATTGGTTAGTACAATTGCATTACATCTGCAGAATGCCTTTTGCCACACAACATAGCATGATCATAAGAGTAACACCAGGGGTCCCGGAGGGCCTTGTAGAATCCTGCTTACCACACCACCAATTGTCCATTTTTATCCTCATTACGCCCTCATGAGCACTTGTGTTTCTTCTTTTAGTGACTGAAGAGAAATTTCCTTTGTTTATCATGTGGGAGTGCACTCTGCCTGGTGGAAAATAAACCTAACCCAGGGCATCCTACATGCTCTCAAAGCACCTACTTTCTGCAGGGAGGGTTGAGGAGAGCCCTGGAGTTTGGGCGGTTTATGAAGTTTTCAGGAACCTGTCCTGAGGGACCTGAAAATAAAACTCCCTCTTCAAGCTATGGCTCCCTATACTGGTGTGACTTAGCTCAGCCAAGGAAGCCTTCAACTGAATGCATTTCTCTCTCCCTGTTTGCACAGACACGTGGGCTTCCTACGGGTTCAGATGAAGTTTTCTCAGCCACAGGAGCTCTGCTCCCTTCAGTTTGCACTGACTTGAGGGCTACAAGTTGTTCTAGATGTCACATAGTGGACATTTGAGAAATCTGGGAGCCAGCCCAGGGACGACTCCTGCCTTATAGCTAAAGTCAGAACAACATCAAATCATAATTTCCTATTCATGTCTCATTACCGTGAACTCAGGGTCTGGCACAAAGCAAGTATATAATAGATACTACATAATTATCTGTTGACTGTCCTTAACAAGGCTTATTTCAGGCACAGCCAGACAGTACTAGCAGTCTACTCCAACATTTTGGTTTTACTGGCACTTATCTCTTCATATCATCCATGGAACATCCAGTATAAACCAAATATTTTTACCTGAAATGTGAGGCCACTTTTGTGTACTAGAAGGACCATGTACTGGGTGAAAGTCTGGGGTTTAACCAGTCCAGCCTGTTTCATCATGAACAAATGATAGCACTAAATCATGCAGTCTTCTAAGTCACAGCCATAAAATTGTGTGGTTTTGTAAATCTCATGTCTAAATGCGTTGAGGAAGTTCATTATTTAAAGAAAGCCTATGACAATTGCTTTGACAAAAAGAAAACTCACTGTACTCATTCTCTGTTGTCACAGTACAAATTACTACAAATTTAGTGGCTTAAAATAACATACATTTATTATCCCATGATTTCTGTGGATCAGTAGTCTGGCCACAGCGTAGCTGGGTCCTCAGTCCCAGGGTCTCACAAGGATACGGTTAAGGTGTCAGCCAGGCTGTGTTCTTTTCTAGAGCTCCGGTATCCTGTTCCATGCTTATGTGCTTGTTGGAAGAATTCAGTTGCTTGCATTTGTAGAGCTGAGGTCCTGTTTTCATGCTGGCTGCATCCAGGGACTACTCTCCCTACCCTCCACCCCCAAGAATTTCTTGTTCTGTGGCGCTCTCATAAGCCCTTTAACAGTATAGCTGCTCACATTTCCAAGGTCATCTGGAGAAGCTGTCTCTCCAGTCCACCAAGATGAAGTTTTAAATAAAATAGTCTAGGAAGTGACAGGTCCTTCACCTTTGCCATTCTATTTGCTGAAAGCGAGACACAAGTTCTAGGGGAATGATGACTCATTGGGGTCACCTTAGAGTATGTCCAGCACACCTGCCATCCCCTCATTTGTAGATGGGAGAGTTGTAAGAATTTTCTAACGGCTACGTTTGCTTCAACCTAAAAGGTTCCAGTTGGTGGAATTAAAGTCCCAGTGTGTGAGGAGAGTTTATGTAGTCTTCCATCGTCCTCCAGTGACTCTCCCTTGAAAATACTTTAGTAGTAGAGAATTCAGAGGCTGCTCCTCCATCAAAGGGAGCAAATAATATCTGGAGCTCCTGATGTGGTACATTGATAAATCTAATGCTTCATCTAAGTGGCAGCTGGAGCACAATCGGTGCATCCCAGACCCTTCAGCATAAGAACTGGAATGCTGGAGAGTGAGAAGGGGGTGGAGAGGGTGGAGTTGAGTTCAGGGGAACCCCGGGAGAGTGAGAGATTTGGGAGGGAGACAGTGTCCTTTTGTCATTCCAGTGAGGGACCTCGCAGTCTTTGCCTGTAGAGCAGTGTTTCTCAATCGGGGGTGCTTTTGCCCTTCACAGAACATTTGGCAATGTTGCGAACCTTGTTGGTTGTCATGACAGTGGTGGGGCAGAGAGTGATGCTGATGGGCAGTGGGCAGACGGCAGGGATGCCGCCCATCATCCTACAGTGCACGGGATGGCTCCTGCCACAAAGAGCTACCTGGCCTGAAATGTCGGCAGTGCCAAGGTTGGGAAACCCTACCATGGAATCTCCCTGGGCTTGCTTGACTAATGTCGATTGCCTGAGTCACCGCCCTATCCCGGTTATCATCTCCTGTGGGCAGGTGTGGAGAATGATGGTTCTACCCATGTGCCACGTGTCTCTGGGCTCGATGAAGAGCAGGCACGTCACATTGTTCAGTGACCAACAGCAGACATGCCTTTGGTGAGGAGTTAGCTTCACACCTACCTATCCTGCTGTGCGCTGGAAGAAGCTACTGGCTACAGCTATCTGAGAGAAAAAGTGAAAGGACCTGAGATTATTCCGCCCCAAGTAGAGTGTTTAAGGTGTGGAATTGTGACAATGTCCACTGGTTGACACCCAGTCTCTGTGAATTTTTGAGCAGCGGAGAATGACCAGACAGCTAGCCATCATTGGAATGAGATTGTTGACCAAAACACCCAGTGGGTGAGCCGGCTGTGATGTTTGCCCAGCTCCAGGCAAAGCTTTCGATTTGTTTTGATTTCCAGGTGGAGCCCAACACCAAAGTGTTCCCAGCAGTCTTCCTGCAGCCTACAAGTACTTCCTTGTTTCAGTTCGAACTTGGAAAGCTGAAGGTATTTATTTGTCCTCTCATCTAATGGCCATGACAAGAGAAAGCAGAACTAACCATTGGGGGAAAATCCCAGCCTCAGAAGACAGGAGAAGCCCACTCACTTCCCATAAGTCCCCAACCCCCGGGCCCTGCCCTTTCCTGTGGAATTCAGATGATAGAATATGCATTCTTATCTTCCCCTTTTCCCTCCTCTTTTGGGTGCTGAAAGAATCAATCAATGCCCATATAACCCATTATCTGAGGTGCTAATTAATGCTAGTAAAGCCCTTAGAAGTCCCTGGATACATCTGTCCCTCTTTAATTTAACTGACCATAGTGGTTAAAATGTCTGGGTGCATCATCCAGCAACTGTGTGTTCCTTTTCCAATGCCTTTCCCACGTGCCCCAGAACGCAATGCCCCTGTCAGCAGCCATATTCAAGAGTGAAGAGAAGAACCCAGTCCCACAGTGTCCACCTCGGCTGGACGTCCAAACCATCCAGCCCGTGCTCTGGAGCCGCATGCCCAACAGCTTCCTGAAGGTGGAGAGCGAGCGTGTGAGCGAGCGCCACGGCTGGGTGGTGCAGTGCCTGGAGCCCCTGCAGATGATGGCGCTCCACATCCCCGAGGAGAACAGGTACCAGAAGGGCCCGCGAAGGAAGGGGCAGGCCTGGGGGCAGGTGAGGCAGAGCCAGGCAAGCCCAGAAGGGAACCAGGAGCATCTGTATTGGATCCTGCTTAGTCCCAATATGACTTGATTTCCCCAGTGCCTCAGTTTCTATTCCTTCCCACTTTCGTTACTCAGAAACAGCAGGAAACACACTACGAGGTGCTGCCACAGGACCTTTGTTACAGCTCCTAGTGCCTGGGATCGAGGAACAGTGCCATGCCTTTAATTAAAAACCAGTTTACATTGAAATATGCATCATTTATGACAGGAAGGGCAAGAACGAGGCATCCTAGCTTGACTTAGAGAATCAGGAATCAGGTTCCTGGTCCCCCCTTGCTAAGAGGTGCTGTTCATTATGGCTGGGGTTCAGTCCCATTGCTCTCTCTCTCTGCTTTCTGGCTATGTGGCCTTGGGTACATTACTTGTGGGCTCTGAACGTTGCTCTCTTCATCTACACAGTGAGAGAAATGCCCGCCCAAAGGGTTTCTGGGAGGAAAGAAATGAGACTGCATAGGTATAATCTGGTACAGTTTCTGTATGTAGTAAGGAATAAATGTTATAGTTATTGCTGTTCCTTGACCTCTTTGAATAAAAAAGCAGCGTTATGGGAAAGGATGGAGGTATTTGACACATGCATAGGTCCCATTTAGATGTCCCACTGGGTCATGGACAGCAGGGCAGGCCACGGCAGGAAAGGGGCAGAAAAGACCAGGAGCCCAGCCAAGTCAGTCAATTCTGCAGGGTCTTCAAATCCATGATGAGGCATCAGACTAATGGAAAATCTAAGCAGAGATTAGAGCCCAGGCCCTGGACCCACACAAACAAGGAAGCTCTAAATCAAGGAGAAAGCCAGCTGGATTATGTTAACTAGTTTTAGGTTGGAAGGTGTTTCCTCTTGGGACAAGAGTGCAGGTGTGATTGTTTTCCGGTTGTTGGAGGAACACCCCATGGATAGTGATAGACTGGATATACAAATGATCCAGATCCGTGGTCCCCAGCCTTTTTGGCACCAGGGACTGGTTTCATGGAAGACAGTTTTTCCACAGACAGTGGTGTGTGAGACTGGGGGAGGGGGCAGTGGGGATGGTTTCGGGATGAAACTGTTCCACCTCAGACCATCAGGCATTAGATTCTTATAAGGAGCATGCAGCCTAGATCCCTCACATGCACGGTTCACAACAGGGTTTACGCTCCTATGAGAATCTATTGCCTGTCCCGGGCCATGGCCCTGGGACTGGGAACCCCTGATGTAGACGGTAGACTGACCGAAAGCATAATCTACATTTTCTGAGGAGATTTTACACAGGGAAATGCAAGATCTGTTTGATCCTACAAGTAAGACGACCAAGTCATTGCTCTCATATATGTGAATGTTTTGTTTGGGAATTTTGGATTTTTTCCTAATAATGAGGACTTTCACAGTTGGTAAACCAGCGTCTTGCAGGCTTTTGAGAGTCTTATAGTTAAATGTGGTGGAGTATTAGGAACTGGAATATGGACCAGAGCTGAGAGAGGCATGATAAGCCATAAGAGAAACTGTGGCAGAGACCCCTCCATCCTTCCACCCACTCTGCCTCCTTTGGGCTGGGTGAAATCACTGGATTCTGGTGGGTTTTTCTCCCCTTGGTGTGGCTGATTGCTCATCCTGTCCTCAGGTGTGTGGATATCCTGGAGCTCTGTGAGCAGGAGGACCTGATGCGGTTCCATTACCACACGCTGAGGCTCTACAGCGCAGTGTGCGCCCTGGGAAACAGCCGTGTGGCCTACGCCTTGTGCAGCCACGTGGACCTCTCCCAGCTCTTCTATGCCATTGACAACAAGTACCTCCCCGGTCTCCTTCGAGCTGGCTTCTATGACCTGCTCATCAGCATCCACCTGGCCAATGCCAAGGAGAGGAAGCTGATGATGAAGAACGAGTATATCATCCCCATTACCAGCACCACCAGGAATATCCGCCTCTTCCCGGACGAGTCCAAGAGGCATGGACTGCCTGGGGTGGGCCTGAGAACATGTCTCAAGCCCGGGTTCAGGTTCTCCACCCCTTGCTTTGTCGCAACTGGTGAGGAGCACCAAAAACAGAGCCCTGAGATTCCCTTGGAGAGTCTCAGGACGAAGGCTCTGAGTATGCTGACAGAGGCGGTGCAGTGCAGCGGGGCCCACATCCGAGACCCCGTAGGGGGGTCTGTGGAGTTCCAGTTTGTGCCTGTGCTGAAACTCATTGGAACCCTGCTGGTCATGGGCGTGTTTGATGATGACGATGTTCGGCAGATCCTCCTCCTGATTGATCCCTCTGTGTTTGGGGAGCATAGCGCAGACACAGAGGAGGGAACAGAAAAGGAGGAAGTGACCCAGGTGGAGGAGAAGGCTGTGGAGGCTGGGGAGAAGGCCGGCAAGGAGGCTCCTGTCAAAGGCTTGTTGCAGACTCGATTACCCGAGTCCGTCAAGCTGCAGGTAAGCTGCAGGCGGTTAAGTGGAGGCAGGTTAATAGATTTTCTGCTTTGATAAAAATATCAGGAACACACTGAGGGTTAAAGGAGATGAAGTATGTCAAGTGCTCGGCATAGTGACTGGCCAAGAGTGCTTGATGATTATGGTGCTTGTTGTTGAATACGTTCTAACAGTGATAAGCTTGGTAATAATAACAATCCAAAACAACTCATCCCAGAAAAATAGTGCAAAAAACAGTGGAAGATGGAGAGAAGGACAAACATCTCTACTTTCCATCCTCCAGGACTGGAAAATTTCAGGAAGGGAGGCAGCACTCACATGCATGATCTGGAGCTAGTTTTTCTACTGAGCTTCCTGGGAAATATTTTCTTAGAAATAGCATTTTCTCTCTCCACAGGCAGATTTCCTCTGTCTTTAGTGAGCTGTTTTCTCTTACTGCCTTTACCTTAATGGTGAAGATTTGAGTAACAGTTCTATGACCACTGTGTGGCAATTTACTTTAATTGTCTCAGTCTCAGTGCTACTGTCTGTACAATGGGGATGCCAGCAGCCTCACCAATGTACGCGAAGTGTTATATGTATAATACTTTCACTGCAGATGTGTGAGCTCCTCAGCTATCTCTGCGACTGTGAGCTGCAGCACCGAGTGGAGGCCATTGTGGCATTTGGTGACATTTATGTCTCCAAGCTGCAGGCAAATCAGAAGTTCCGCTACAATGAGCTCATGCAGGCCCTGAACATGTCTGCGGCCCTGACTGCCCGGAAGACCAAGGAGTTCCGCTCACCCCCACAGGAGCAGGTGAGGGTCCCGTCCGGAGCTTCCATCCAGTTCCTATGCAAGAACTTGAGACCTATGGAACAGGGCACACGAAACCTCTGTGGTGTCTGGGGCAGCCTCCAGAGCTATGGAAGGTGAAAAGACCCACTGCAATAGCAGGAGACAGGCCTAGTCCTGAAAGCTAAGGAATATGTGCCAATTCTCTTGGGTGGGAAAAAATACCCGTTTCTAAACTGCACATGCGGCAGGGCTTCCTCTCTCCTTTCACCCTCTCCAATGCCTCCATTACTGATTCAAAGACCAGACCACTGTTGGGATTCAGTTGTCTCCTCAGCAAGGATACACCCCTCACAAGGATTTCTGCCAACCCTTCCAGAAGTCACTACCTGTCCATCAGACACCAACAGAATAGGGTCAACCTCCCCCTACTTATGAGAGTTGGCCCCCAGTCTTCTTCGTCCAATGTGTCTAAACCCCCTCGCCAGTGGCACGACTCTCTCACAAAGCCTCCCCAGCTCCACGGAGCCTGGAGAAGGGGACTCAGCGAGTGAGTCACCTTTGTGATTTGTTGTATTCATTCTTCACAGTACCCACCTTGGGGTTAGCCTTACCCTGGTGGGAAGGGCTTCTTTAAGAAGAGTCGAGATCCTGGTGAGAAATTTCTAAATGAGGAAGGCACATCTGTAGAATAAGAGTTTCCATTTTCCCCACTGCTCAGCAGCTCACTTAGACCCTGTGGGCGGGTTGGCCACTGCTCCCTGCGTGTTCAAAAGGAAAGATAAATCTTTCAGTGAAGTAAGTAGTTTTTGTTTTGAAATCAGATCTTTGGATTATGTATATACATATGCATATATATGTATACATCCTGGGAGGGAGATGCAAAATGTAGGTAATTTTTGCATCTCCTTCCCAGGGTTCTTGCAAGGATCCCATGAGATAATTCGTTTAGATTGCTTTGCGTGACGCCTGTCACAGAGTGAGCGTTCTGTAAGTACTAAGCGAGCTACTATTAGTTTTATTGTTGGAGATATTTGCAGTTGCTTCATCCTAGGCTCTGTGACCTTCCATCAGTGACCCAGTGAGTGGAGCTCACACATGTTTTCTGGCATCTCTTTCTCCCAGCCAAGCCTGGGGTTACCCACCCAGTACTGTCCTCATGGATGTAGCTGCTCATGGTTCTGGCTCGTGGGAAGGACAATGTTTGCTCACATCCTTCCTTTCCCCATTCTGTCTCCATACCTTCTACCGTCTCTTGGGCTGCCGTTTAGATCCACTGCCAGTCTAAAAACAGCTTGACAACATTTGTAAAGCCTTCAAGAGTAATTCCTGACAAAACAGCATACCCGTGCATTTGGCACAGTGCAAATAATCTTTTCCAGTCAATCCAAAAGACTTTCTCATTTTACATCTAGCAAAGGGATGATGAGTATGTACCCTCCTTTAGTATTCTAAACAATCCTCTGATCAATCTCTTCAGACTCATTTCAGAAGTCTGTAACTCAAGAAATTCTTCACTAATGTATTAGACCAGTGATTCTTGAGCAAGCATCGGAATCATTTAAAAGGCTTAATAAAACACAGTTTGTTTGGTTTCACCCCTAGGGTTTCTTCTTTGAGACAGAGTCTTGCTCTGTCATGCAGGCTGGGGTGCAGTGGCGTGGTCTCAGCTTACTGCAACCTCTGCTTCCCAGGTTCAAGTGATTCTCATGCCTCAGCCTCCCAAGTAGCTGGGACTACAGGCATGCGCCACCATGACCAGCTAATTTTTGTATTTTTAGTAGAGATGGGGGTTTTCCCATGTTGGGCAGGCTGGTCTCGAACTCCTGACCTCAAGTGATCCACCTGCCTCAGCTTCCCAAAGTGTTGGGATGACAGGCGTGAGCCACCACGCCCGGGCCTCACTTCTAGGGTTTCTAATACGATGGGTCTAGGGTGAGGCCCAAGCATTTGCATTTTTACCAAGTTTTCAGGTAATGCTGATACTGCTGGTCTGGGAATAAAAATGAAAGGAGGGGCACTTACCGCTATGAGATTCAGCTGTCCTCCTGCCATCCCCCCCAGAGTATTCACTTCTACAAGGCACCTACCCGTGGAGTTACCAGTATCAGGAAGATTTAATGTCATCAAAGGATGTGGTGGATTTAGATCAATTTCAGAGAATAGTCATGCAAAATCACTTAGAAAATAGGATGCCTGAAAATTAGAATTTTAAAACAGTGATATCCTTCTACAACTTTTGAGGAGAAAATAGATTTTTAAGCCCTATATCCAGAGAGTATTCAGAAAGATGGAGAAAATTGGGGGATATGACTAAGTACAAAAGAAGGTAAAACTGAGATTAGTCCAAGGGTTGCTGGCAAGTTAGCCAAGCGTTACCAGCTGCCCTTTCATTTCCAAGAGGACGTTATTAAAGGGCATGGCCTGCAGCAGAAAATTCAGCTCAGCCCAGCTTTCTGTTGTATGTCCTACAGGCAGGGAAGCCCCTGCTTCCTAAATGTTCTGCCAAAAGAAAGATCTTTTAGTAAAGAAACTAGTTTTCTAACTCAGAAACCAGATCTTCAAATTTTATGTTTAATCAACAACGAATCAGCATATGTTGTTAATATAATTACCGTAATTTTAGCTCACAGAAAAACCACAAACATGACTTTTCCCACCTGTTTTGTGGATATTTTTTCTTACACAGAATACCTCTACCTACTTCCAAAATATGGTTTGCAGTTAGAGCTTTGAGTAGAGTTCCTCCTAACAATGCTACATAAGGTTCATGATTTAATAAGAGATTGTAAATGTGTCTAACCTAGAAATCCTAAACAGAAGGAGTTTGGGTTATCCTGGCTGAGGTAGCAAAATTTTTACCTCTGGTTATTTCTTCTGTCCCTCCAGATGTTCAGTGACCTGGGGTCGTGGCCCTGTGGGCAGAATTCGGGGACCCAGGAACCTGAGTGCAAAATGAATGACAGCTTTATTTTCATTGATCTCTGATAGCATTTCTTTTCTTATTTTAATATGGGCAGCAAAACAAGTAACTGACTTTGTCACCAACCAAAATTGCACATTTTTTCATATCACATTACAGTGGTTACGGTATCTAGAAAAATCATTTTCATTCCTTACTACCTCAAGACCACAGTGGATATAAGACCTGCCACTAGATCGTTTTCTCTGATTAATAAAGAGGTACATATGTTACTACATCACAAATTTGATTTTTATAGTTTTGATAACTGTATGTCAGTGTAATTATTTCTCTTTGTAGTCCTATGTATTTTATTTTGTGCATTTAAAATATTAATCAGAGAAGCAATCCATGGGTTTCACCAGACTCTCAGAGGGGTCCATAGCACAAAAACTACTAAAAACCCTGAGTCAGGCCGGGTGCGGTGGCTCACACCTGTAATCCCAGCACTTTGGGAGTCCAAAGCGGGTGGATCACAAGGTCAGGAGTTCGAGATCAGCCTGGCCAACATGGTGAAACCCCATCTCTACTAAAAATACAAAAAATTAGCCAGGTGTGATGGTGCACACCTGTAATCCCAGCTACTCAGGACCCTGAGGCAGGAGAATCGCTTTAACCCAGCAAGTGGAGGTTGCAGTGAGCCAAGATCATGCCATTGCATTCCAGCCAGGGCAACAGCAAGACTCTGTCTTGGGGGGGAAAAAAAAAAAAAAAACCCTGAGACAAAAACTAAAAGAAAAGAATGATAGATTGGCACTGGAAAACATAAACCTACATGACAAAACAAAAACTTGTAGACAAACTTAAAAGCTGACTAAAAACTGGGCAATACATTTAGAGTATAAAAGTATATAAAAGTATATAAAAAGTTAAAAATCTAGAGGTGTGCAAAGCACTCAAGGGCAAATTTTCTTAAGATAATTACCCAGTAGAAAAATGGAGGAAAAATATGGATGGGAAATTTATAAAATACAAAATAAAATTAATTTTTATGTATGAAAAAACATGTTTCAACCTCACCAGTTAAGTATAAATTACAGCAACAAGGATATGACATTTTTCACCCATTCGGTTGAAAATATTTGAAAATGTGTTAATGCTTGTTACTATAATGAAGATGACATAGTAATACACACTTGTATAAATTTGTTAATAATGCAAATTATTGTAAGCTTTCGGAAAGGCAATTTGTAAATTCATATAAAAAACTATTAAAATATACAAACCTGTTGCTCTAGTCATTTTGCTTCTGGGAGTTTATTCTAAGAAAATAATCAGAGACATGAACAAAAATTATTTTAAAGGAAACTCACACCAACTTTATAAGGACAAATAATAGAAACAAATATGTCATAACAGTTAATTTTACATAAATTATTCATCCATATAATTACAATGCACCTATTGAAAATTAGATTAAGAAAATAAGAAAATGTTCAAGAAACATTAAGCAGAAAACTCTGATTTTTAAAAGGTGTATCTGGAATGTGATCCATTCCGTGTGTATGCATATATAATGTCAGGAAGACATTAGCTAAAATATTAACAGTAGTTATCTTGGGGTGGTGGAATCACAGTAAATTTTCTTAGTTAGATATTTTCCAAATGTTATGCAATTAATAAGTTACTTTTAGAATCAGAAAAAGGTGGAAGCTACTTTTAAATATTGGCCACTTTTACAAAAAAAAAAATCACTAAACAAAATAAATTTGCAAAGAATGTGTCTGTCTAAGGCGGGGTCTGTGTTCCCTTGGCCAACATTGAGAACCGACTAGCTATTCTTCTCTTGCCCCTCAAAGATCAACATGCTTCTTAACTTTCAACTGGGAGAGAACTGCCCCTGCCCAGAGGAGATTCGGGAGGAGCTGTATGATTTCCATGAGGACCTTCTCCTTCACTGTGGTGAGCTGCCCAGAGAAAGGCTTTGTCCAAGAAAAGTCTGTTTTTAGAAATTAGAAATTTCTGATTCCTTCATTAGGAAGCTAGTGGTGGGTTGGGAAGTTATTTTTGTATTTAAAATTGTAATACTGTCTTTCAAGACGTGACTCTATCCCAACTACTTGTGTCAGAAAAGATACAAGAAGTAACCCTGGCAGAATATACGATCAAAATTCCTTCTACCTGGAAGAGCCTGTGCAGAGAGGAAACAGGGTTGGGTTTCTAGCAAAAGAATGAAGATAACTGATCCTTATATAAACCTCACCTAATTTACTTAAAGTTAGTTGGAACTCTCAGCTTCCAGGTCAGACAAGATTCTGATCCCTTTGCTTTTTAGCTATTAGGTGTGTCTGTGTGGCGGGGGTGGTGTTTAGTAACTTCTGCCCTTAAGGCTTCTCAGCCAGCAATCTCTACTTGGATACGTACCTACTGGTTTTAAGTGGCTCTCGGCATTTATGTTGCTTGTACATGGGTAAGTTGAATAATACGTGGGTAATTGACAAGTTTTTCATTTGAAATAACTCAATGTTAACTCCTTCTACAGGCTCTAGGGCCACGTCCCCCAAACATGCTTCCAGAGGTTTCAACACTATAAGAGTGTATGTAATCCCCCATACACTCTTCCGGAGGTTTTGGGGGTACAGATTCAAAACACCCGTTCTAGGATTAAACTTACTTGATATTCTGATAGACAGGAAATCAATAATTTTTTTTCTAAAAGCTATAAGATAGGTAAATATTTATGAGAGGTTGCCTGTAGTATCTTTAGAAAGTTCCAGAAGGATGGGAAGCAGTTTTTTAAATGTTCTTTCTGATGCCTTGATGGTTTCATGTACTGCTTTGGATTTTCACCCTGTTCTGTGGCTTGGAAGGGGTTCCTTTGGAAGAAGAGGAAGAGGAGGAGGAGGACACCTCCTGGACGGGAAAACTCCGTGCCTTGGTTTACAAAATCAAAGGCCCACCCAAGCCAGAGAAGGAACAGCCAACGGAGGAGGAGGAGAGATGCCCCAGTAAGTGACATTGCCTTTAAATGATAGGGTGCTCTTCTAAAACTTAATTAAGGTAACTGTGTTTTTAACAAATACTATAAGATAGATATGGGCTGCTTAACTTCAAAGAAAGCATCTGGGCAGTATGTTATAATTGCTGGTAGTTCTGTTACATATTTTGGGTTCTGCCTTTCTTCTGATTGAAGAAACTTACCTTCAGACTGTTCTGAAACCTGAGATGGATTGCTTGGTGTCTGTTCTTGCTGTCTTGTTCTACTTAGAGATGCCTGTAAATACATGCCTGTTCTTCTTTTATGTTTCCATAGTCTTCCTCTTTTAGCCATTATTGTTTCTTAACGATAATTGTTTCTGTCACTTCCGTTTGAAAAATTGGAAATTGAAAATTGCCCCAGAGAGGAAATAAAATAATAATAAAAGAGAGTTTGTAAAGGAAATAGGATATGAGTTTAGGGGTGTTTTTGGATTTGGGGTATGGTTTTTGAAAATGTAGCATCCTGAGACTTTAACTTTCTATTTTTCAACAATGCCGAGCTTTGTCCAGATTTACCTCTAAAATCCTTATACTATCGATGACTCCTACCATTTTGACCCATGATGAAACAAGATTATAATTTGTTCTGCAGGGCTGTTAGATTGTCTCTAAGACATGAAATTTCAAGAGGAAGATTGTCTTGTCTGAGTATTATATATAATCAGTCCTCTTGTTGGTACAGATTCAGCAAATTTATCATTTGTCTAAAGAAGAAGGAATTTCTCAGGTTTGATATCATTGCTTTTTATCTTGTTTCCTATTCCTATCCATCTTAGAAAACACTTTCAAATCATAGACTAGAGCAATTGACTTTCAAGAGAGGATCGGTTTGTCTGAAAACACTACTTTGGGGTTCATACATCTTACTGCCCTTTATGTCGACCTTTCATCTTTGTCAGAATATCTCTGAAGGGAACAAATCTCACTATTCGTCAGCAGAAGTGTTGAAACCTCTGGAATAGTGTATTGGGGGACTTGGCACTGGCAACCCTTGATAGGGTAGTTCCATCAGTCACTCTGGAAAGGGTGGGTCTTTTGTGAGGGTGTGCCAGCCGCACTCTAAAGCCCCAAAAACTGAGTTTAGACTCCCTTTGTGGTTGCAACCAAAGGAGAACTGAAAATAGGCTGAGTTACCCATATGTCTCCTATATCACCTGCTGAGAGTCTATTCTGAAAGTGAATGCTTCTTTCCCACCTTCTTTTTCTTTTTATCTTCCCCTCCCCGCCCGCCGAGACAGGGTCTTGCTCGGTCACCAAGGCTGGAGTGCAGTGGTATGATCTCCGCTCACTGCAACCTCCACCTCATGGGTTCAAGCGATTTTCCTGCCTCAGCCTCCCAAGTAGCTGGGATTACAGGCATGCACTACCATGTCTGGCTAATTTTTGTATTTTTAGTAGAAACAGGGTTTCATCATGTTGGCCAGGCTGGTCTTGAACTTTTGACCTCAAGCAGTCTGTCCTCCTCGGCCTCCCAAAGTGCTAGGATTACAGGTGTGAGCCACTGCGGCTGGCCTTTTCCCACCTTCTTTTTAACAGAGAGTATGTCGTGGCTGGGGATCCCACCAGGTGACCATTTCATGTGAGGTAAATGGAGTCAGTCAGATGAAGTCACTTGTCACCGGCCTCTGTGAAACCTCCCCCAACATCTGTGAATGATGTTCAGGCACCAAGGATTGCAGTCTGCAGCCCTGCTACCTCAGGCCTCAGGCACACAGACCACATTCTGTCTGTCTTGGCACAACGTGCACACTTGAGAGGCCAGCCCAGTATGAGGCTGCGTGTCTTCACCTCATGCTTCTTCCCTTCCACAGGAGGAATTATGAGAGGTTCACGCTTTGTGTCATAAGTTCTCTATCCTGGGATCCCAGAAATAGATGAAATGGTCGAGGTGGTCAGGCCTGTTTGGTTTCTCTGCTGAATGTTCTAGACACGATGAATCCCCTCACTCAAGCCTGGCATTTTAAAATAAATTCTGGAGAGTGGTTTAACAACCACCACCCCCATAAATTGTTTTTAATCTGATCAAATGGAGACAAGGTTGCTGACTGCAGAACCAGATGCATTAAAGGGTCAAAATCCTTCAAATTATTGGTAACTTTGTTCATGTTATTGCGTATCTGATTTCTATTACCCTTGCATTTGATGAAATAATAAAAGTGTAGATAGTGTTAGAAACATTCTACAATGAATTGGCAGTTTACTAAATACTTCCACACATATTCATTTACTGCTGTTAGTTTTCTACACTCCTCCATTGTATAGTTGGGGGAAGTAGGAGTCAGAAGAATTAAGAGGTACTTGTTTATTCTTTCCACCCTTATCCGGTTCCAGAAAAACGTCTGGTGTCTGATTGTCACCAGCCCAAGGTACCTGAAGTGAGTAAAGCTATGGCTTGAAGGCAGGTCTTCTGACTCTCTGTATTGTACTGTGCTTTTCCACTGTACCACGAGGCTTGCCAAAGAGCTTACCAGCATACATACCATGAGCTGCAAACACATATGGAATGGCTTTTTAAAATCACTCTTTTTATCTTGCCTACTACATCTGTGAGATATCTCACTATTGTGACTCCAAATCTGAACCCAGCGGAATTCAATGTTTTAAGATTTAAAAGTTCAGCAAACCAAAGATCTGAATCGTTTTCAGATACAGTGGTGGTGGGCCCACCCTTCAGTCCCTCTGCTATGAGAAGCTGATGTTGGCCAGATGACCTGCAGAGAAGCCACAACTTTTCTAGGAAAGAGAGAGCGACAGTGTCCTGAAACTCATGTTCTGAAATGTGCTAGCTGGCTCAGTGTTGAAGGGATTTGCCTAAATTAACTCCAAGCCATATTGTTAATGAAAGCTGTTACAATATTATCAAAGGATCAAATGATAATGAACAAATGAAAAAATCTAACAATAGTAGCCACTATACTAAGTCACTTTTTTTTTTTTTCGTATCTCCATCCAGAAAATTCCCTAGAAAAATTTTTGCCTGTTCATTCTGGCCAGTACTTCTCCAACACTGCAGTTTAAGCATTTCCTTGAATGTAAATATATAGGCACTGAATTATTCTTCCAGAAGAGGCTGACCAGATATTTCTGCTAAATTCTAAAATTAACAAAATAAAAATCACCTGTCAAATTTTACCGATTAAAATTTGGTCCATTCTTGATCTCTGCCATTTGTTGAATGCTTTCCCATGGGAGAAGGAAGCTCCATCCTGGCATCTTATCTCTGTGCTTAGAGTCCTTGAGATGACTCACTGCAATTCAGCTTTGGGTGGCCTCGGTTAAGAACTGAGTTATAGGTGAGCATGGCTGAGTCTGTCTGAAGGAGATGAACATCCCTCTTCTGTCTTTAGCCCTGTGCTGTTTGCCACAGAATGTCACCTCTCACAGAGCTTAGTTGGTACTCTTGGCCTTGAATAGCACCTACTCTCCCCTGCCACTCTTCTTCTAATGAAGACCAGAACTGGAGGTGACCTTAAACCTGTCAAGCCCCAAAGCCCCTACGTGTGTTAGCTCTTGCCTATTCACTGAACAGTCTAGCAGCCCTAAACCAAAATTCTCTGCCAGCTAAATGCTGTAGCATGTTTAGTGCTGAGACGAAGAAAACATCTATACAAAATAAGTCCCAGCACCTCAACACAAATACTCACATGCAAAGTAAGATATCTAAATTCTCTCCAAAGAGCCTCTCCCTAAACACACACACAAACGCCTCCTCCGTGAAGTCTTTCAAACTCATTCTCCTTCCCTCTACCCCTTCCACATTGCAGAATTTCTAATAGTGTATGTATGACTTTCCACCTTATGTGAGGTGTTTGTATATGTATTTGTTTTCCTCGCTGGGTCTTAATGCAGGGAGCATGTCGTACTTGTTTCCACGGTCAGCTCTATGGCACCAATGTTTTTGACCTCCTACTGAATATTGGTCACTTGAGGCTCTTAAAAATGAAGAAAACAGGGAGGCAACGCAAAATAATCATGAGGTTGGATGTATTGTAATAAAAGTACAGACAAAATACAGTAGGTGGCCAGAGGAGGAGATTGAGAAATTGTCCTTAAAGAATGTAGATGGATGGAGAAAATAAGAAGGAAAAGGCATTTTTAAGGGGGGGGGGGGAAGCTGCTTCCGCAAAGGCCCACGGGGTCAGAATGAAAAACAAAAGTGGTGTTAGAATGTAGAACGTCTTGAAAAATCCAGCGGCCAAACCTTATGCAGGCTTAGAGTGTTACTCTTTGTTATACCCATGTGTTTTATAATATTTGGTCTCCCAGTTGTGGGGAGGGAGGGGCTAACATTTATGTGGTACCCACTGTGTCCTGAGCATTGTCTTGAGCACTTCCATAAATATTACCTCTTTTCACTCTCATGAGAACAACCTGCAATACACAATTTTGTTTCTGTTTTGCAATTGAAGAAGCTGAAGTAAAGACAGAGTAACTTACCAGAATCACACAGAGGTGGCATAAAAATTCAAAGCTTTGTCAACCTGAATTCAATTTCCATCCTTATCACTTATGTAAGAACATCCTGCCCCCTATAGGCAATGGCTGTGAAAGGTTCTTGAGAACTAAGTCATTCATTTACTTAACAATACTGAGATAGTTATGGGCACAGGGCTTCGGAGTTAGGCTGCCTAGTCTTAAATTCTTAACTTCTCCCAAAATTCACGATATCCAGGAGACTGAGCATGAGACAGCTTCTCTGTGCCTCAGTTTTCTCATCTATATAATGGACATGGCATATACATACTTACCTCATTGGGTTGACATAAGCATTACATTAGTTAATATATGCAAATTGCTTAAATGTGTGTCTGGCACATAGTGAGCACTTCATTTTAACTATTTTTTGGCTATTGTTTGTTGATTACCTGCCATATTAGACACAAATCAAACTGCTTTAGCAAGACAATAGTCTTTTAAGTAATGATTTAGCCCTTACCAGCTTTGCATAGCCCTCCCTACAACAGGGAGA